TCAGGCAATCCACTCACCTCAGCCTCCCAAGGTGCGGGATTACAGGCTGAGCCACCACGCCTGGCTGGTCAGAATTTCTAGCTTGTCCTTTTCCTAGATAACAAAGTGTGGAGTGAGGAAGCCCCACCTTTGTCATCTGTGTGTCCCCAGCACATAGTAGATGCTCATCAAGCATGTGTCAGCCATTGATCGAGACGCATGAGCATAAGTGCACGCATGTTTAAATACAACTTTGTCACCCATGAGTGCCCTTTGAGTCTCATCTTGAGACACTTTTGTCATTAAGGAATCTGGCTCTTTGATTGAGGGGTGGAAGCGTGTAGAAGTTGCCTGTAGTGTAGGCTCTGGGCACAGAGTGCCTGTGTTCATACTCCAGCTCTGCCACTGTCTCTGTGCCCCTGGGCAGCTGGGGCAGGCCTCCGTGGGTACCTCCATGCTGGAGCTAGGCTGACATGGACCTGCATTATGGGGCCATCATAAAACCCTTGCCCCAGAGCCCCATGCCTGTGGACCCTGGATGCTCTTTGTTATCAGGTGATTTTTATGTCGTGTGAGATAGAGCCCACCTCTTCCCAGAGGAACCTGCCAAGCGAGGGAGGGGTCGAGGGGCCATGTCGGTGGGTAGGTCAGCAATCTGAGCCAAAGAAACCCTAGGCTCTGTGGGGGGTGGCTCAGCTGCCAGAGGGTGAGGGTGCGAGGCAGCACTTTGCTGCCAGCCCACCAGCCAGCCTCCTGGTCTTCATGCGCCCTCCATTGAAGAACTGTGCGCACTGGGATCAGAGTCCCTAATTGTCAAATTAACGCAGCGTCCTCATTAAACGCCAGCCTCATGCCAGGCAATTCAGTCGATTCAACAAGTCTTGCTGGTCTTGTGGGGGTGTCAGAGAACATACAGCCCGGCCCCCACTCTTGGAAGGGGACAGAGATCCACAACACAGGGACGTGCTACAGCTGAAGGATACAGCTCAGAACGGGGACGTGGGGGTGCAGCAGCAGTGTGAGTCTGCTAGGTGATGGACGGCCCGGTTAAGAGGGCATGTCCGGTCCTTTGCAGCCACGCAGATCCGGCTCTGCCATTAGTTAGCTCATGGTCTTGGGCAGGCGTTGTAGCCTCATGGAGCCTCGGTTTCCTAATCTGTAGAACCTGGTTGATAACTGCCTACCTGTGGGCCTGTGGTGAGAGGGAGTGAAGGGAACATGGGGAGCACTTGGTGCCTAATGAGCTCAGTCTTCTGTTGGTTTTGAACTTGGCTGGGCGAGGCCAGAGTACGGGAACCGTCTGTGGGGCTCGGGCCGTTCTGCCGTCTCCTGCTCCTCAGTGAGCCCCTGCGTGTGAGTGGAGCACAGGCCTCTCCCTGAGCCCTGCAGGATTATGTGAGTCTTGGGAGGGGACACGCGCGTGTTGCCCAGCCACTCCCGGCCACAGTCAAACACAGCAGCAGGTGCCCAGCTTGCTGCTGCCCATGCCTGGAGTGTGTCCCCCCCCATTTCCTGCGGGTTCCTGCTCCGGCCCCCGACACATAGGGCCTTCCTGACCACCTGGCAAACACAGTCCTGCGGGTCCCTCTCCCCTTGCGCTCTGCCCTCTTGTGCTGTGTGACCCTCGTCACCACCCCTGACATGTGCTGCTTCCCGCCCGACTCCCTTAGCAGGACAGTGAGCTGCAGGCAGGCTGCATTTGCCTTGTCAGCAGCTGAACTTCTCAGCACCTGGAAGGGAGCTTGGCCCACGGTAGGTCTTCAGGAAAGACTTGCTGAGTGGATGAATGGGGAGTGTGGAGGTGGTGGGGCTTCCGATGCTAGAACAGCCTGTCTTGTGAGCCCTCAATGTTTCCACACGGCCCAGGAGTCTTCCCGTCAGCTGGGACCACAGGTCGTGCCCTGAGCACAACACCCGGGCAGCCAGGAGACTGCAAGGGCCTGGAGAGAGGGCCCGTTCCTGGCTCCTGGGGGCCGTGGGGCGGGACTGGCAGAAAGATGGCGAGCTGCTTGTCCACGCAGCCTCACTCTACGCCAGGGGACCTCCCCACCCGCCCGCCTCCCTTCTTCCTTCCCCTCTTTCTCTCTCTCCCTGCTTCCCCTGCCCCATCCGGTGAGCATGGGGGCGCGCGTGTCCCTTCGTGCCCTTTGTGCAGAGAGCCTGTTGACCGAGTGCGTCCTTCCGGGAGTGTCTTCGTGAGGGAGGCTGAGGGCAGAGGCGCTCGTGTCTGTGGGCGGCTGGCCTGGGGAGAGTGGCTGCGTGTGCGCACGTGTGGGGAGAGGCCGCGAGGACCACGTCCTCCAAGGCTCTGAGTGTGCTGCGTGGGGACCCCAGGCGCCGTGGCCTAGCCCCTGCCCTTTGGATTCCGCAGAGGGTCCACACTCAGCTGCACAGGAGCTGTAAATTCCAGGAAACTCCCTGCCAGCCGGGTGTGTGGGGGAGGGAGTGGAGGCGGACCCACACGGTTCGGGTTCCCTAGCACTGGGCGCAGATGCGTCCGCCCCAGGGACAGCAGCCTAGGAAAGTGCGAGCCAGAGTCTGTTTGCTCACCATAAAAGAGCCGTCTGCGAGGGGCCCGGGGGAGGCTTGGGGGTTCCCTTCCAGAGGTCCTCACCGGGGCCCACACCGGCCTTTGTGTCTTGCTTGGGGGAGGCAGGGCTCCTGGTGTGGGAGCTGCTGGGTCATCTTTCTTGCGCTTTACGGCCAGCTCCCAAACACAGTTGCTTGCTGCTCCTGCGAGGGGCTGGGCCAGGAGGAGGTGGGGGCCCTTCCCGCTGGAGGGCTGGGTTGAAGGGGCCCCGCCCTGGGTTCCCGGATGACTGGCCAAGGGCTCCAGAAGCCAGCGCAGGGGAGAGGAGGCAGGCGTGGTCCTCTCCAGCAGGCCGTACGGCTGTTTGGAAGGCCCTGGCGGCCCCCCAGGCCCTTGAGCAGAGCCCCCTTTGCGGTCTGACCCGAACCCTGGCCCGCCCTGCCCCCTCCTCCTCCACGCCTGGGCTGGCCGTCCCAGCTCTGGAAGCTGCCCAAGAGCATAGCTTTGAAGCACAGCAAAGGTTAGGAAGGAGGAAGACAGAAATGTCCTCCGGGCCGGGGGAGTGGGAGAAAGGAATTCCATGCATGCTCCACGGGAGCAGGGCGGCAGGCCTGCAGGGGCAGCCAGCTCAGCCTCGGTGCCCGTCCGTGTCCTGCTGCCCACTCCTGGCTGCTTGGCCCTGCGCGAGTGAGCCCTCATCCCCAGGCCACAGGCTGGGAGCAGGGAGCAGTGGCCCTTGTTTGCAGTGCTCGTTTCAACCCTGGCTCACAGGGGTAAGAGCCAGGCCGTGCTATCCGCCCTGCAGGATGCAAGACCTCATAATTGTCTTCAATTGCAGATGGCGCGGGCCCTCGGCCCTGGCTTCCGGCAGGAACCAGAGCCCCAGCCACCGCCATGGGCGGGAGAGGGCCCCCAGCCCTCACCTCAAGGCTTGGGGTTCCCTGATAGTCCTCTGGCCCTGAGGTCCGTGCAAAAGGCTGCATTGGGCCTGACCAGAGCCCGTCCCTGTTGAATGCCACCTTCTTTGTCTCTGCTCAGGATGAGACTTCTGTGAGCAGTGAAGATTTTGACATGAACGACTCCACATGGATGTCGGCTGACCCACACCTGGCTTCCAGCCTGAGCCCCAGCCAGGACGAGAGGATGCGCAGCCCACAGAACCTCCACAGCCAGGAAGATGGTGAGTCCTCGTGTGGCCAGCAGGGGTGTGGACAGACTCCAGGGCTGGGGAGCCCAGGCCAGGCCTGCTGCAGGTCCCGGTGTTCTCAGCCCTCGGTGGGCCCTGCTCTCCCCAGCCCCTGGCTCCAGGAGAGCCAGTTGTTCCTCCCAAAGCTGAATGGAGCAGCCTACAGGGATGGCAGCCTGAGGGGTTTCCTGCCTGTTGAGTTGCTCTTAGGCTTGTGGGCCTCCCGACGTGGCTTTCAAAGTAATCGTGACTTGGGTCTGGGAAGGCTCAGGATCGGCCGACCCAGAACAGTTCAGCCCCTGCCGTGGAAGCAGGAGCTGTGTCCCATGGCCGATGCGAGGCTGCAGGAAGGGGCCACCTGGTGAGTGGTCAGGCAGAGCGGCTGTCCACGTGTGCCCCCACCTCCTCGGGACGAAATGTGACTGGCTGGGGACTCTTCCAGAGCCCTGGCCTCCATGGCTCCCAGGGCCTGCCAGGCGGCCTCCTCTGGCTTCCCCTGGAACAGAGGCTTCCTCATTGGGTGGGAGCGTGAGTGTCAGAAGTTACACCCAGGGGTCCACTCCGATCTCTCACGTGGAACTCGGGTGGCTAGTCACAGGCTGTCCCCTGTGGGCAGAGCGCCCCTGGCAGCGCCCGTGTTTCCAGGGAGAAGGCCACTGGGGGCAGGGGATGTGCTGAGCTGAGCCTCAGAGAACTGGGGTGCAAGAACTGGCAATTAGGAAGGGTAGAAGGTCAGAACCTGGAATGTGAGAGGAGGCGCGGGGGCAAAAGGGGTGTGATGTTAACTCTGCAGAACGGGCGGCCTGCAAGAGCAAATACGGAGCAGGAGCCTTGCCGTTGGGTCAAAGTTCGTCTCCATGGCAGAACCCTTGTGCTGCCTGCCCAGCCCTCGCAGGCCTGAATCCTGCTTTGTCTGGAAGAAGACCCAGCCGGAGGCAGCCGGAGGTGTCTGGCCGGGACTGGGGAGCCGGGGAGTGGCTGCGCGAGGACTGGGGTGCGAGGCTGCCGGCAAAGAAAAGGCTTTTGTGCCCGATGCCTCGTGAGGTCAGCGCGACCCCCTCGTGCTGCCGGCCTCCAGACCACGGCCGCTTTCAGCGTTCCCATGGGGTGGGGGCCGGGGGGGCAGCCACATGCCGCCAGGGGCTCTGGGCTGGGACGTGCCCAGCAGCTGACCTGCCGCATCTGAGCAGACTGAGCCACACCCAGAGGCACACCAAGGGCCACACCGGCAGAGCGCAGCCAAGGGCCATCGTCTGTGCCTCCCTAAGAAGGACTTTGTTCAAGTCCCAGAGCAGTGGGTCTGAAGGGGCTGTAGCCCCCTCCTCTTTCCCAGCAGGTCTTGGGCTGTTATTCCTCATAACCACCTTTGGGAGTGTGGTCTCTGTCAGAGATGCGTCCCTGGGAGGCCTGGTAATTAGGTGGTGTTTCTAGGGGGCCAGGGGTTCCTTCAGCATCTGTTGTGCCCTGTTCAGAGGTCGGCTGACCATGAAGACAAGGCCGAGAGAAGCAGAGAGGCTGGTGGTGTCAGCAGGTCCGGCGGCTGGTCCACAGGAGCCCGGTGCGGGGCCCGCCCTGGGGGCGTCACGCGCCCCACTAGGCCTCTCCTGGCTGTGGGCTGGGCTGTGGCCTGCTGGCCTGCTGAGAGGACAGGGCGCTTATCGGGCAGGCACGGGAGCTGGGCCCAGGAGGAGGGTGGCGAGTGGGGTGCAAGGGATCTTGCTGTTCACTCAGAGGCAGCCGAGACCCAGGCGGGGCACAGGCCTTGGGGAGGCCCAGGAAGCTGCTCTGGCCTCTGCTGACCCTTCTGTGCCCTCGGACTTGCTGCTGTCTGCCCAGAGCAGTGGGTTCCCAGCAGGGATCTGGCCGGGCCTAGAACAGCCTAGAGCCCTTGCCGTCCTCTCCAGCGGTGCTCACGGTGTAGCCACCAGCTGAGGTCCAGCTCCCGTGAACATCAAGGAGAGGCTCAGGGCCTCTGTTGTTAATGCGGGACTAAGGCAGAGATGGGTAGAGCAGGGGTTCTGGGGGATTGCGCCCGGCCTCAGCCCTCCACACCCCACTCCTCACCCATGGGTCTCTGTGGCCGAAACCTCCCAGCCCCACCGACGCCAGGTGGATGCAGCAAGTGGGAAGGAAGGATGTCCCAGGGCCCCACTGTGAGCTCTGTGAGATTCCTGTGCCAGTCGTGGTTTCTGCCCTGCTGGGACCAAGCTGCACACCTGGTGTGCTCGGGGGGTTGAATGACTGTGACTTGAGGGAAGAGCCAACAGGCGTTTCCTGAGACTTGGCCCAGCACACCCTTGTGGGGGCCACGTTGGAGACTTTGTTTCTGAGACACCCCCTCCACGAGCAGCTGGACCTTTTCCCTTGGCCAGAGTGTGGGGACTCCCAGGCGGTGCCCGTGTGCCCTCACCCCTGCTGACCAGCGATGCAGCCCAGAGGTGACTTCAGAAGCCAGGCACCGTTGGTGGGTTTGTGGAGCCCTTCTTTCTTTTTTTTTTTTTTTTTCATTTTAACAAAGGCAGATGCCGGCTGGGCTCTGGCAGGGCAGGTCCCAGGCTGAGGACCTGAGAGTGCTACACTCACCAGCAGCCCCCTACAGAGCTTGTCAGGGAGGGGAATCTGCCTGCCCCAAGCAGTTACACTCTTGCCCTGGCCCTGCTGTCTGCAAGTCTTCCTCTCACAGGCCTCTTGGTGGCCCTTTCCCACACCTGTTGCCGAAGTCCTGTTCCTGGTCCCATTCACTCAGTGCTCTCACCTCACGGGGAAGACACTGAGGGTCAGTGGGAGACTTTGGGCGACCCGGCCAGAGCTGGAGGCTTGGAAAGGTGTCACCCCTTCTATCTCCTCTTCGGCAGGCATGGGAGCAGTGTGGAAGGGTCCCCAGAAGATGGGTGACGGAGTCAGGAACCCGGGGAGCCCCCGCCACACACTCAGGGCCTCCTCCAGACCCTTGGCCTTTGGGTCTGAGTGGAGCTCTGTGCACATTGGAGGGTGGGGATAGGAAGCCAGGAGAAGCCGGCCGTGAGACTTCGTCCAGAGACACTGCGGTCTGGCCTTGCCTCGGAGCCAAACGGCATGTCCATCTGTAACTGCACCCCCATCCATGGGGTTCTCTGTTTGGTGCCTGTCTCTTTCCCTTGTACCGTGACTCCCTGAGAGCCAGGACCCCAGCACCAAGACGGGCTGGCACCCAGTAGCGCTGGGGATGCGCCGGGTGGCGAGTAGATAACAGTGAAGGTGGGCGTGCACAGGCAGGTGAGCCGGTGACCTCCTGGGCAGGCGGGGCCGCACCTTCCGCTTCCCCTGGATGTGCTTCACCAGGCCTCTCGCTTGGTCCCTTCCGGAGCGGAAAATGTGAGGCCTGGCCTCCAGAAGGGATGCGTGGGGGCGGGGAACGGACATTACTCACCTCCCGGGCAGACAGGAAGCCAGGCCAGGGAGAGCGGGGTCTGCGGCCCTGGGGCCCGCTTCCCCTTCCGCAGGACTGCCGTTGGGGGT